GGTTTCATTTGAAATTTTAGAGTTGAGGTCACCTTGAGGGAACAACCTCTCTTAAATAAGTAGCTCCTTAAAATGATCAAACACGTACTTCGTAATTTTTCATAATTAAATATTATGTACAATGCACATGTACTTTACACACAAAAGAAATGCTTGCGTTTGTTTAAATTAAATAAAATTGAGGAATGTAGTAAGATTGACAAATGTAAAATGTATGTGTGTTAAACATGTACAAGCGCAGTATATTTCTCAATTAGAACTTACCTATTTGTTTAAAATTAACTATAATCCAATCTGTATCCTCATATGTAAGGGGATCTCCATTTGTCGAAACATACTGTATTGATTTGAATAAAGCAAAACCAGGATCCTTCTTTGTGGTTGAGATATAAGGTATCTACCATTCCTTTTCACTTGTGTTTGTACTTTCTGTTTTTACTGTGATGACAGTCTCGTTTTGCGTTACGTTTATCACAAGATAGTGCTTCCTCGTCGTCCAAGCTTCCATTCTGACTTTTACATTGAAGTGTTCTACGTCGTACTTTATGCTCTTCGTGAGCAGCTTGCACAGCAGTCCAGAAAACTTCAATATTTGTCTTTTCAGAATAAGAAGGACTGTAACATTTATAACGATAATATTATTAATAAATATTCTAACAAGTTGCATTATGTAATTTAAAATTATTTCGTAAACTTTTTATCACATAAACTTTTATATTAGCGAGAAAATTTATATTATACTTCACACATATCATAGATTTTCAGTATTAGGGGAGACCGAGACAAGTTGGCTACAGGGGTAAATTGACACATTGCTTATATTTCTGCTATTTTCTAACAAATTGAGGAATCAAGCAAGGGGGAAGTGCAACACCATCTTTGACACATATGATGTAAGTTGCATTTCATTATGAACAACAGTTATGAAACAATGGTGTTAAATTACATTTTTAATAGTGGAAGTAAGTTCTCACAATTTCGTAAATTTATTTTAGAATTTTATGTTAGTTGCTATCACAGTTAGAAAATATATTTAGTTACATTTTAACGAACATTTAAACAATATATTTTTACATAATATGCTTTGTATGTATTATTGTATAACCAATTTTATTTACGATCAAATATCTCTTTTTTTTTAATTTTTACTTATTACTGTATTTTTTTAGTCATATATCCTTATTATATATTTAATGTTATGCTTTGATCAAATGCAGAAGAAAATGTTTTTTGATTACGAGGAAAAATTTGTCGGTTACGAGTAAAGAAACATATTAATTATCAAAAATTAAGACATTATTAAATAAAGAAAGAAGAAAATTAAATAAAAGAATTATTTTATGAAGTTACAATTATTAAATCCATTATATTTGCTAGTATTTTAAAAGTGATAGTGTTACAGTTTTTAACTTACTTATCGCTTAAATATTTATCAATACCATTCTGAAACACTTCCTCACCAAGCATCTGTTGTAACATGCGCAATATAGCAGGTGCTACGAAAATTCACGTTATAAAATTACAGATTATACATGTCTGAATTGCATTTTTTCTAAAAATAGCCACCCCTCTGCACATTTTATTTTTGAAGATAAAATGCTTTGCGAGATCTCAAAATTTCCGTCAAAAACTCAATTTTTGGATGCCGTATGGCGATTTTCATTTACATTCAAGGGTGGGGCAGTATAACCAAAATATCGCTCAAACCATCCTAAAAAATAGGAAAGTATGCAAATAACATCTAAAATCTTAGCAGTTTCTATCAAATTCGATGCAATTTTGAAATAAAATGGTTTATGACATCCAATTAAATAGTTTTCAGACGTTACCCCCTCCCCTTATAATCAAAATAAACCCTTCAAAACCACCCCTGAATTATCATTTCGACAAATTGACAATTATTCTAAAACAAATAGAGTAAAAAAATTTAAATAAAGATCACGGGCCGTGAAATTCTTTCAGAATATATTTCAATCAAATTTAACCCCATAAGAATCATAACCAATCAATAAAATCTCCTACACATCATTTAGACAACTAAGCAATTATTCACAGGCAATTAAACATAAAACTTTTTTATTAAGTTTACAGGCCATAGAATTCTACTAGAATGTATTTGGATCCAATTCAACCTCATTTTTAGGGGATGATTTTTAAGGGCTGATTTTGATCATCATGGGTATGAATTTCATTCATTTTTACCGTACATGAGCAGAGATACATATTATGATATTTACATGGGAAGTATATCTATATACATATATACAATCTGTAACTTTTAAAGCAATTATCTCAGAAACGGGTCGGACAATCGATCGCAAATTTAACACAGGTTTTTGGGATATATAAGTGCACAATCTCTGTAAATTTCAGCTTTATCTTGTTATTTTGACATAAGCGACATACAACTTTAAATTAATTTATAAAAAAATAGAGATAAATATTTATATCTTATTTTTCTTTAACGTTTAAAAATTTATATGTAGACCATTAGGGGAGACCGGGGCGGAGTCGTCACTACAATTATCTCAAAATCTGTGTGTTGTGTGAACTCGCCATTAATATTGTAAAACACTACTTATGGTGCCCATGTGACCAATGGAGTTTAGTGAGATTATATGCCATGTTGTGATTTTCATTGAGGCAAACGGAGGTCAAAAGAAAAATTTTTTGCGCGTCAAAAATTTCAAATATTTTAAATATTATTGTCTCTCCGAATCTCGAGATAAATGATTCTGAAGAGTAATTCATACTGGAACCTGAACACGAATCCAGTGAAAATTTTTTATTTTTGTTGATTTCTAATATTTCATGAGCGATTAAACTTAAAATCTGTGTCCGGGGCGAAGTCGTCACCAAGCCATGTCATGAAGGCCTCGGGCGAAAATCAAAGTCAAGGAAGCAGCAGTGGTCGGATTCCGGCGGAGACTTGGATAATATGTGCTGCATGTGCTTAGAGATGACAGAATAGAGCCGACGAGAAACAGTGCGTTTCGTGCGAGCGTAGAGCACATAAGTATGTGCGCTTTTCTTGTAATTATTTTCCGCCATCGTGTTTTTAATTAATGTTTCCATTTTTCTATTAAAAAATAATTAATAAAATGTATCCTATCATTTTTTATGACCAGAATTATGAATTTTTATTTAAAATCCAGTCCGAGAATGGAGTGACGACTCCGCCTCGGCAATTTTGACATTTTAATTTTTGCACTTTTGTCATTTTCACTCTATACCAGTTGAACAAAGCGACGTAAATAAAAAATGTCCTTATAAATTTTGTAGCCAAGGTTCACTCCTTTACAACGGTATACCACATTTTACTAAAATTACTTGTTTTGTTGTTAACAATCGGCACTAAAAAAATAGTGACGACTTTGCCCCGGTCTCCCCTACTAAATATATTTATAATTGCTAACTTACCTTTGACATAATAAGCAAAATAGAAACCTGAATCATTGTCAGAAGGACCGTTTATTTCTGATATAAGAGGCTTCATAATGGAATCAGTATCGAGACGAAGAGCTTCTTGTAGAGTTTGAACGACAAACAAATCTTTTATATGGCAATTTAGGTAAACCTAGACATGAAAGATTTCAATTTAATCGGACTAACAATAAATATACTCATATTAACTGCATGTAGATCACTGTTACGGGATTGAATTATTACTAAAAATGACTTTACTTTTTTTCTAATTGTGGGTATATAGTAAAATTTCTGTGGGACTTCCGTTTCCGGTTGGTTAAGTGTGAGTTGGCGATTTTTGCGAGCGAAAAGCGAAGTGCGAGTGTGAGAGATAGAGCGAGTGAGAGAGTGTGGCGAGTGAGAAGTGAGCACGGTGAGGGAAAGGGAGGGTGTGAGAGTGGAGGCAGCGCGGAGGATAGGGGAGGAGAGTCCGTGGAGGCGGAGGAGAATTGGGAAGTTTGAGGTTAGAGAGACAAGCGTAGAAAGGGAAGGATAGAGAGCGCGAGAGTGAAGGGCTAGGGAATTCTGGGGATTTCGGGATAACGCGGGGAAGTAGTACGGCCGTAGAGTAGAGGATAGATGGCGCAGTTTGCGGATAGGTTTGGGAAAGAGAGACGCGGAAGTACGGGGAATCTAGATGAGCTTTCCAAGAGGAAAGGGAGTATAGACGAGTTGTTTAAGAGGAAGAGGGATAAAATGGAGAAGGAAGATGGTACGGGGGGGGAAGAGGACGAGGACTTCTCGAAGAGAAGTAACAAGACGGTGAAAACGCCACCAGGGGGGGGGCAGGGGGGGAGGATATGGATGTGAAGGGGTTGTTGAGAGGAATAAGGGAGGAGATGAGGGAGGGGTTAAGAGGAGTGAGAGAGGAGATAAGAGAGGTAGCGAAGGGGCAAAAGGAGGTAATGATGGAAGAAATAAAGAAGATAAAAAGCGAACTGAAGGAGAGAGAGGAGATGTGGAGAAGGGAGAGAGGAGAGCTTCAGAAAAAAATAGAGGACATGGAACAAAAGCTGGAGGGGATGCAGATGGAGGTAAAGGGAGGAGGTCTTGGGGGAGAAAGAGGTAGAGAGGAAAGCGGAGGAGGGTTGAGGGAGGAGGAGAGGGGAGAGGCTGATTGGAAGGAGAGGGTGGAAAAGCTGGAAAGGAGGTACGAAGTGAAGGAGAGGGGAGAAAGGAGAAGAAACATTCTGATAAAAGGAGTGAAGGAAGATGCGGGAGGAATAAAGGGGGGAGTGGCGGAGGTAATGAAAAAGATAGGCGTGGAGGTGAAGATAGAGGAGATTAGAAAAATAGAGGCGGGGAGAAGAGAGAAGGGGGGTATGGCAGTGGTGAAAGTGGGAAGTGAAGAAGAGAAGGCGAAAATAATGAGAAATAAGTGGAAACTGAGAGACGAAATTACGTGGATAGACGAAGACTTGACATGGGAGGAAAGAAGGATAAAATGGAAGATAAACCAAGTGGCATGGAAGGCAAGAAGAGAGGGTAAAAGGGTAAAAATAGGGATGGGAAGAGTATGGATAGAGGGGGAATGGTGGGTGTGGGATGAGATAAGAGGTGTGCTTAGGAATGGCAGAGAGAGGTGCTGGGAGGAAGGGCAAGGGAAAGGAAAAGAAAGTGAAAGAGAGGAAGAGCAAAGGCAGGGGGAGTAGAGGAGGGAGAGGGAACGGGTAGGGGGGAAGAAAGAGGAGCAGAAATTGAGAAGGATAAGAGAGAGGAACTGGGTGGAAGAGTGGGAGAGGAAGAGGGAGAGGAGGGAGAGAGGAGAGGGAGAGGGGAGGGAAGTAGAATTTATAAGGTGGCTTTTTGGAATGTGGCGGGGCTAACAAATAAAGATAAAGAGTTTTGGGAAAGGCTGGAGGATTGGGACGTAATGGTGTTATGCGAAACGTGGGTGGATGGTAAGGGGTGGGAAAGGATAAAAGAAAAGATGTCAAGAGGCTACGTATGGGAAGTGCAGAGAGCAGGGAGGAAGAGCAGGAAGGGAAGGGCGATAGGAGGAATAATAGTAGGGGTGAGGGTAGGGATCAAGATGGAAAGAGAAAAGACGAAAAAAGATAAGGAAGGGATAATATCGATAAAAGTGAAACTTGGAAAAGAGTGGTGGAGGGTAGTGGGAGTATATATAAATAAGGATATGGACGGAAAGTTGGAAGACCTGAAAGAATGGGTGGAGGAGATTGAGAGGGGAGTGAGAGTGCTGATAGGGGGGGATTTTAACGCAAGGACCGGAAAGGAAGGGGGGTTCGTGAAAGAGGGAGAAAAAGAGAGGGGGGAAGGAGAGAGGAGATCGAAGGATGGCAAGGTAAATGGGGAGGGAAAAAAGCTGTGTAGATTTTTGGGGGAACGTGGGTGGGCGATTTTTAACGGAGGAATAAGAGGAGATGAGGAAGGAGAATGGACGTATACAGGGGGAAGAGGGGAGTCGGTGATTGACTACGTGTTAGGGGACAGGAGGACAAGGGAAAGGGTAGAACGGGTGGTGGTAGAAGAAAAGGTCGATTCAGACCATCAGCCAGTGACGGCGTGGGTGGAAGGGTGGGAGGAAGGTATGGATAAAGGGAAGGGGGGAAGGAGCGGAAATGGGAGAGGGGACTGGTCAGAAGAGGGCAGGGAAAAATTTAGAGAGTTAGTGGGAGACAGGCAAGCTCAGGGAAGGGGAGTGGAGGAGGAGTGGCAGGGGTTGAAGGAGAGGATAAGGGAGGTATTAAGGGAAGTGAATGGGAGGAGCAAAAAGAGTGGAGGAAGGGGCTGGTGGGATGAGGAATGTAGGGAGGGAAAAAAGAGAGTTGGCAACATGTTAAGGAAATGGAGAAGGAAAGGGGGAGAGGGGGACAGTTACAGGGAGGAAAAACAGCGATACAAGAAGCTATGTGAAAGGAAGAAAAGAAGAGAAGTGGAGAAATGGGAAGCGGAAGTAAAGGAGGTCAGGACGGAGGGGCAGGTATGGAAGGTGGTAAACAGGGAAAGAAAAAGGAGAAGGAGGGTGAATGAGGGAATTAGTATGCAAGAATGGGATGGGTACTTTAAAGAGCTGTTGGGAGGAGTGAATGGGAGGGTGGTGATGGGAACAAGAAGAGGGGAGGGGAGGGAGGAGAAGGAGGAGAAAGAGGAGATAAGGAGAGAAGAGGTGTGGGAGGTAGTGAGGAAGCTTAGAGAGAGAAAAGCGATGGGAAGTGATGGAATTCCAAATGAGGTTTGGAAGTTTGGAGGGGAGGTAGTGAAAGAATGGCTATGGGAAGTGTGCAATAGAATGTGGAAAGGAGAGGGTTAGCCGGAAGATTGGAGGGAGGGAATTATAGTGCCTATAGGAAAAGAGGGAGGGGGAGAGAGTGGGGGACTACAGAGGGGTGACGTTAGCACAAACGGCATACAAAGTGTATGCAGCCGTGTTGGCGGAATGGTTGAGGAAGAAGGTTGAAGAGAAGGGCTTGCTGCCACCGAGTCAGACAGGGTTTAGAAGAGGGGTTGGGACCACGGACAACATTTACGTACTGAATTACCTGATAAACAAGCAAGTAAATGGGAAGAAAGGGAAGATGGTGGTGATGTTCGTGGACTTAAAAGCAGCTTTTGACTCGGTGGACAGGAGGATTCTGGTGGAAGCCATGAGAAAAAAGGGAGTAAGGGAGGGCTTGGTGGAGAGGTGTAAAGAATTGTTGGGGGAGACGATATGCAGAGTAAGGGTGGGAGAGGAGATGGGAGAGAGATTTTGGACAGGAAGGGGAGTCAGACAAGGGTGCCCGTTAAGTCCAATTCTGTTCACCTTGCTGCTGGCGGACATTGACGATGAACTGAAAAGAGGGGGTTGGGGTGGAATAAAGCTGGGAGGGAGAAAGATATATACACTGGCTTATGCGGATGATATAGCGATGTTGGCGGAGAATGAGGAAGATATGAAAGGAATGATGGGAAAACTGGAGGGGTATTTGGACAGAAAGGGATTGGTATTGAACAGTGAAAAAACGAAGGTAATGAGATGCAGAAAAGGGGGAGGAAGATGGAAAAAGGTGAGTTGGAGGTGGAAGGGTAGGATAATTGAGGAGGTGAGAAAATTCTGCTACTTGGGATATGTAGTAAAATATAATGGGAGGCAGGATGAACATGTAAAAGAGAGGACGAGGAGAGGGGCGGCGTTGCTGGGACAAGTATGGGGGATCGGAAAGAGGAGGTTTGGGGAGGATTGGGGTAGGAGAATATGGTTGTTTGATAAGTTGATATGGACGGTGATAAGTTACGGAGTGGAAATATGGGGGTGGAGGAAAAGAGGGGAAATAGAGAGATTGCAGGAAAGATATTTAAGGTGGGTGTTGGGAGTGGAAAGATGTATACCGGGATATATGATTAGGGAGGAGTTACAAAGGGAGAAACTAAGAGGAAGGGCGGTTATGAGAGCATGGGGGTATGAGAAAAAATTGGAGGAGGGAAAGGGAGGGGAGCTGGCAAGGGAGTGCTGGGAGGAGGTAAAGAGGAGGGCAAAAAGAGGGGTGAGCAGGGGGGGATGGGAGGAGGAGAGAAAAGAAGCGGCGGAGAGCAGGGGCTGGAGGATAGAGGAGGTAGAGGAGCTGAGGGAGGAGGGGATGTGGAGGGGAGAGGACGTGCTGGAGAGAGAAAAAAGAATGCAAAGAGAGGAGAGGTGGAAGGAGATAGGGGAGGCAAAATTTAACAAGTAGTATGGCATGATAAAAGGGGAGGGGATTCCGGAGTACTTAAAAAAGAACTGGGGAGAAAATAGGTGGCAGAGGGTGGCTAGATACAGGCTGGGGGGTGGTATGAGGGGGGTGAAACATTGGATGGCGGAGGAGAGAAGAGTGTGCAGGGTGTGTGGAGGGGGGGAGAAGACGTGGGAACATGTGTGGGAAGATTGTGCAGATTGGGGGGAGGGAGATCATGGCAGGAAGCGGTGGAAGAGGTATTGGGGGAGGAGGGGGAGGGGGAGAGATGGCTGAGGAAATTAGAGAGGGTAAGGGAGGGAGGAGATGACGAAGGGGAGTGGGAGGTGGGGGAGGGGGGGAGTGAATAAGAGAGGGAGGATGAGTGAGGAGTTTGTAAACGGAAACGGAAGTCCAGAGAGATAGGGAACTTGCGAACGTGTGTGTGTGTGTAAAGACAGGCAGGGCAATTAGTACGTAAGGTTAAATGTAAGATAGGCTAAGGTAGGTTAAGAGATTGTACAAAATTGTAAAGGGTTGGGAACGTCCCTTCAAAACGCCTTGCAACCCTGAGGGGAGTCAATAAATATATCTATCTAGTAAAATTTCTGTGAAATGTCTAATGCAAGCACAGATGTCTATATCTACTCTTACTCGCTAACTTCGGGAAAAATTGTGATTTGCCGGCAGCCATGTTACCTACAACTCAGTGGCGGACAGCGGCGGTGCGTGTGTTTGTGTGTATGTGATACGCGGCGGGTATGTGTTAGTGGGTCATATCACGTGTTCAGTATCACGTAATTTGATAACTGATAACTCGTGCCCGGGTATTACATACGCACTGACACACGCACCGCCACCACTAGAGTTGTAGATATAACATGACCGAACCTGGAAATCCTGCCATCACACTCTTTTTGTTAGAGTTATAGCGTTCTATAATAGTTAAGTATAAACATCTGTGAATGTAAGTAATTCAGATAAGGTTATAGTCTAAACTATTTGAAAAAAATCTTTGCAGATTTCTATACTCTATTAATTTTATTTAATATATATGCCCTACAGTTTAGCAAAATTACTTTAACTGAGAAATACCTGATTGATAGCGTCCATTGCGAGTAACGTTGAGATACCCTGGTTCAACCATATGTAAGACCAGGACGACGCGACGGACCGATACAATTACTAAGGCACTGATATGCCACTGCATGTCCTAATAAACGGGCAATGTCTATTTGACGCATAGGCGGATCTTTCTCTTCATCAAATATAATAGCTGTTGCTCTAGAAAGGATTGTGTAATAATGCGATTATTTTACGTTTTTGTTGTTTGTTTTGTTTAATTGTATTAAGTTTGAACTTATTCGTGAATTTAACTCAAATAATGTCAATTTAACTAAACCAATGAAGTTACAATAATACCATCTTGTGTTAAAATAATAAATTTTGATACACGTGGTATTTAAAAATAACAAAATGTTATATCTAACTTAAGGTATTGATTACAAAATTTTAGTCTTTAATATTTAACAGCGTAGAGAGAAATCTTGAAATATTGCATTTTTGCAAAATAATAAGCTAATATGTGAATAAAACATGTTATAATATTAATATGCTATGCATACACATTCTATTATAATAAGATTACAAAATAAATTTATATTATTCTATACATAGTTTACTTTATACATATTGATCTTCTTTTGGAGATATGATATATATGTAGGTATTATACAAATCGTATCTCATATAACAAAACGTATGGGAGACAATAAATAAATATAAAAAATATGTAGGTATTTCTAAAATCTCTAATGTTACCTAATAGAAACAATTATCTTTTTAAATACATAAGTTATGTATTTACCTATAAGAAATAAGTCCCAAATTTGACACGACATCATGTCGGAAACCAGGGATTGCGACATGAGATAATTGCTTTAAATTCTGCGAATACATCCTTTGTGATTTGAAATATTCTGTGATTTTTTGAAACGCGGGAAGTGCAAATTTTATGTAATAATAATTTAAATGCTGTTTGTGTTCGATGTGAATATCAGCCATATTAGAAGATGAAAAAGACGATAATAGTATGACTGAGACGTGATACGTGGGGATTGGAGGAGTTTCCTCAAAACGTGTCTGTATAATATCAGGTTGATCAGTTGTAATTATCATTTGCTTTGGCATATTCGACAAAACCTTGTAAGTCTTAGGATGTTTTATATTAATGCTAAAATGTGCCGGATATATCGGATCGTCCCAACAAGGAAACAATCGTCGAGCTCCCATATTGGCCACAGGTCTGTCGCGA